CCTAGACGAAGTTTGTGTGACCGACTACTTGTTGGCTAAATGACGTGCCGACAGTTGTCGCTTGGTCAAATGTCGTAGACCCTCCCGTGGAATTTACCTGAGTTGTGTTCGCACAAACAAAATCGACGGAATTTACCTCTGACACGGAAAGTTCAAGGATCAAGTGATCAGGCGAAGCGATGATCGAATCGTGTTCTTTTCGGCGAATGGTAATTGCGGTCATTGTGTGCATTATGTGAGTCATTGTTCTCGTTTCACGTTCAGCGCTCATTCACTTTCGTGTTTGCCTCCTTATCACACATTGTGCCCACGTATTCAAAGGGCTGGATGTGAACATCACTTCGAACAATGAAATACTCCTTCACCCGAAAATCTGACATTCATATTTGTGCTAACCTAACTGAGTTCATTTGTAATTCGATCACGATGTTTTATTCTCGATGTTTTTGCAGCTTTCAGTTTGGATTCCCTCTTGCCCACCTAATTCGTGATATTGTAAACAGTTGATACCGGTTAGAGTCATCATTGTCGTATTTTAAAGTTTTCACGCAAACTGGTGGTATTTGATATTTTCAGGGTTTCGGTTTTGGTATTTATCTTCGAGAATCGACTGGAGGAAAATTTATCAAGTGGGGAAACTGTGCTCAAAAAGCTGATCTCATGGCGAAGTAGCGAAGTGAACACTGATGATGTCAATCGCTCGTCATCATTAAACGTTTCACATCCCCGTAACATTGCAATTAAGACCCCGCATTTGGTACCGAACCATTTTGTTCATTAATTTACGGCAACTAATCCTTTTTCATTGTATTTTGCATTATATTTGTATCGTCTCCGCTATGTTTAGTGAAAAATTTTCCGTTTATTTTGATGCGTAAGAGTTGGTGATGTTCGTTGCAACGGCCTTTCAGCGAGATGTTCATCCTACTTTGGAAATGTCGATTCCATTTCAGAATATCCTTTGGGAACGGTTCTGTTCGTTCATCTGACGGTCGATAGTTCATTTATCCATAAATTGTTGGCGGTATTCTAGTTCATTTTTCAGTCTTAATGAGGTTGTTAGGGATGAATTAGAGCTGAACAAATCCGATACTGCAGCATTCTGTATGAATATGAAAATGAATTAAAGAGCAACGAAATAATTATAGGTTCCCGTAACAGAGATTGAGTCGTTTTCGACATTAAATTTGTCATCTGCATCTTGCTATAGAAGTGAACCATTCACTGTGCTTGAGGAGTGCGTAAAATGCAGTCAGTTCGAAATTGATGCTCTTCGCAGGGGTAAGTTGAGTTTTTGTTGTTTTTTTTCAGTATTTTAAAATTGATTTTACTCAGGTGTTTATGGCGAAATGGTGAAGAAGAATGCCAGGTTATTCACCTAAGCAGGGGTTCAGATAGGCTGATGCAATTTTATGTGGTCACTCACTCAATTTGCTAAGGCTTTTCGTGCTGTTTTTGTTTTGTCCACCAGTCAGCAACTTCGAATCCCTTACAGGGGAGTAGGAACTACCTGAATTTTATTTTCTGGGTAGTTGTGGGTTGAGAAGTAGCACGGAAAGCAGTTCCCTCTCTACTCTTATGAACGATTGGGAGTGACAGTAAGTACACTTTGTTTACGAATGTTTTTCACAGTTGTATCCAGCAAATTCGCTGTTTGAAAAAATTTTTTATGTATGTTCCAAGCAAAAACTATGAATTTTTATGTATACTTTTCTCCAATATATCCATACAAATTTTCTCAGGGTGCATCTTAAAAGTGTTCTCTTTCTAACTTCGGACAAACATCCGATTGTGAGCATGGAGTTGGCTATCTATAGCATCTACTCCAGTTTTCCATTGCATTGACAGTTGTTCTCTTTTTTTAGCTGTTTAGATTTCACTCATTGACTAGAATTTAATTATATATTATGATAGTAACGTCTGCGACAGCTTCCTTAAAAATTCTGTCATTCCAGATTACTGTTTGGAGAGCGGTTATTACGACAAGCTGAATTGTACATCGAGCGGTAAATTGGGTTTAAGAGCGTGTTATTCAAAAGGTGATTATGCATCGGTGCGATTCAGTTGTGCAATGATATTGTGGATGTTAACTGCAATAATAAGTTATGTATTGCTGTCGTGGCGGAGGCAAGAGCTCGACAAACGCGCCTATTTAAGAGTACAGCAACAGCTTGCTAGTTAGTATCTTGCACGTTATCGTTATTACCTCCTGATTATCAATTCATTCTCCTTAGAATGTCAGAGGTTTCCAAGTCATTCCGTTAAAGATGCACCACTGCTGCATATATATCCGTGTTTGGTACTTGCATTTCTTTCGCGAACTTTCGTAATGCCAACAAGAATTCATTTGAACTCAGTTCCCGCTCACTTGACTCTCGTCAGGAAATGCTGGATTTAATCACAAAGGAATTTGGGAACCTCTGTTTTGTATAAATCATGCTTTGTGGAGAATTTTTTGCCACAACGCGATGTATTTGGTTGATGCCGTATACGAACTGCATCTTGTCATGTTCGAGTGCAGATGATATTTTTGTGTTGTATGTAAGAATTTTTTGTTTGTTTGTTATTGTGTCTCATTACGAGTAATGATAACAATCCAATTTTCAAACACTTGAAAAGTCCATTTGATTCACGAGAATTGTTCACAGTGATCCAATCGAGGTTGTCATAATATAGAACTTTCATCGCCATCCTCAGTTATATCTCGTAAAAAAGTGTCAAATCCATTAAATTTTTTTTTNTTTTTTTTTCAAACGCTAATTCTGTATACGGGTTCATTGTTGTAGCTGTTGTTATGTGATTGTCTGTGTATACATCTTATTTTTGCACCGTTACCTTAAGTCACAATTACCTTAAGGCAGTGATTCGAATAAAAGTTTATCTTTCTTGTTAAAAAACAAATTGATGCATACTGAACATCTACAGAATGAGGTGGAATATTGGTACCGATTGTACAGTTCATTTTTAAGGTTCCCATATTTTCTGGTTAAATATTTATTTCGTACGAGAAAAACAATTCATTTCTTTTCGCTTGTTTTAAATTCCGATCTTATCACGTTTCCCGTCCACCGGAATGTCTTGAATTGATGTTCTGTTTCTGATTCTTTCCCATTATTCGCATTTTCAATGACTGATCACAAAACGAATGAAGCAGCACGTAACTTTGAATAATTCAAGGCATCAGTTAACTCATGAATAACTCAGTTAATAACTCATCAATATTACGTAATATATATTGATGAGTGTCGCTGAATTCGAGGCATTGGTCAACCTCAGCTTAAGCTTAAAACTAACTGTGTAGAATTATGATTCTACGTTCGGATCACACAGTTTGGAATACTGCTTCCGAATTTTTGGCCGTTTTGATGCTATTTACAGTTATTATCACAGTGCAGTATATTCAGTCGGTGCCGTATATGAACTGCACATTACAGTTGTGTTCATCTGTCGTATGTACATATTATTTTGGTTTGTTGTTTTTTTATTACGAATGAAGAATACACTCCAATTGCTTGATGGTTTTAAATAATTGAAAAGTCCGTTTGACGCACTAAAAATGTTCATAATGCTTCGACTGAAGGTATGGTAGTATAGAATCTTCCTTTGCAGTTTTCAGCAACGATTCATCTGAGGTTGTTCTAAATTCAACACAGCATTTGTATATAGTTCAGTTTTGTTGTGATTGGTAATTTCGGAAGTTTAGTGTATCGTTTTTTGGATACTTTATCCAATTACTTGCTATCTTGAACACATATTTCAAGCTCTTTTTTTAAGGATGCCACATTTATCTTATCATTTTTTTCAATCGAGCGTTGGATTGGTTTTTTCTGTTTGTATCTAAAATCGTCTCCGGCAATCACGCAGCTTACCAACTGAAACATTGAAACAGCTGGAAATTTTGCACGACCGAACTCTCTGGCGAAGTAAGCCCAGTGCATGTCTATTGAACACACATCGTTTCTAGCATTTGAATTCGGCGAACGGGATTCGAACCCTCGTCGTGCCAAGTTCAGGTTGGATGCTCTAAGCCTAGGGACATGCTCTGCTTGTGACTGGCTTTGCATTCAAACATTTAATATGCGCACATGTAAACCATTGAACTATTGTTCTGAACTTGCTACACACATTTTCATGTGAATTACAAATAGATGAACCAAAAGTTTATATGCTTTCATCGCACTTACACACCGCGAATGAACATGGTTGGGTGACGTGCCCGCATCCATGAACACACAGAATTAATGCGGAAATGCTGAATGTTTATTCTATGCACATGATTGGATTTCAATTGGTTTGGCGATACCAAAAACAAAATTAACAGAGATTATCTGTATGCATTTGAAACGTCATTTATTATTCTCGAATTGCCTTCTGTGCGTTTTTTTCTTTGATTTCTCGCGGATCCGTCAACAAACGATCCCGACTCTGCGCATTTTTTGATGTTTTTTCATCACTCTTCACGTTCTTTTCCTTCTGCAATCAATCAACAGATCATTATTGTCAGGAATCTTTGTTCGGCAATCAGTCAGCTTAATTTGCAATTCCCATTCAGCAAGAATTTTGGTAGTCTGTTCAAGGTGAAGGATGAAGGAGTGCAAATAAAGTAGACCGTGAAGATACATTTTGTCACATGAACAACGGTATTACGACTTGATGCACTGCCTTCAGGCATTTGCTTCAAATTCGTCGTTGTGAACAGTGCCTTTTCTGATGCACCTCAGAAACATATCAGGAATGTACAACAGATAAACCTACTTCATCGAATACAACAACTTCGATTTCACTGCCCATTTCATGAACCTCATTCAGTGAATCGTCGAACTGCACATGCTCCTCTTCATGCTCTGACGATACTTTCTCATCATCGAGATCGTGCTTCTGATATTATAAATACCGTAATGTAAATTAAACGGATACTATTCCTCGTTTGCAATGCATAATCATATGGTGAAATGAAATGGTAGTACTCGATTAGATATTCGTTGTTTTTAAACGTTCGCATTATTTATTGTATTGTGATGGCCGTACTATTATTATGTGATTCTAGGCAACCAGCAAAACGTCCGGATTTATCTTTTCAAAGTTGAGAGCATGCCTACTAATTAAGCAAGTTTCCATGACGGACGTATGATGCAACGTCAAGCATTTGCGCTGCTGCAGTTTGGTGTATCATTCAAAATGACAAAAGTTTGCATAGATTGCGGATGCAGTGCTTGTGTAGGCAAATGTTCATAAACTGTGTCAAGCCATTTGATTTAAAAATGAGAAGAGTGCTCACTTCAAATATCAGTGCAAATAGTGAACTGCGAGGGTGTGAGCACTGATGAAGGTAAATGAACGGTAAAGAGTATCTAAATCAGGTTGAAAACAAACTAACAAGAATGAGTGGTTGTTTAAAAGGTATTCGAAGAGGTCCTTTGTAGTTGAATTGTGTTGCATTTATCTTATCAGGTGCCCATTCACTTGCGGATGACTCCATTAGTTGTGAGACACCTATTATTATACTGCACATCATTTGCGTTTATTTCATTCGTAGTAAGGCGATTCATTAGATTCTTGAAAGCAACTGTATTGTTAATCGAGCCGTTGCTATATTTATATTGTATCATACGGTTGGTTTATTTTGACGTTCAGCAACATTCACTTGAAAGCAGAGTGCTCGTTTAGATTTGAATACGTGATGATTAATTAAGATAAAACATGAATGATGATTGAAGAAACGAATTTCTGACCACCCATTTCACTTGTGGTTAGCTGTTCAACTGAGGGTTGTTGTTGAAGTTCTCTTACTTGGTTTTTTTTCATTCGAAACGTAACAAAAAGAGCCGCAAAAACAGCTCCGATTATGACCAAAAACCCAATTATGATACCAGCTATTAGGCCACCCTTACCCTGTGTTGTTGCCTCACTGAAATAGTTCATGCTTTTAAGGATACGAAGTGTCATTAAAATTTATCAGTGTATGCGATTAATTTGTCTCATGGTTTCCTTGACGAAGTGTCATTTGATTTATGACGTGTTCGTAAGTGCTCATTCCAAGAAAGACGTTATAGTGCCACTGAAAGTGATCTTCAAACAACAATTGTGCACGATGGAATGCATAGGTTGTAAATTGCCGAAGTAGATACTGTTTTTGTTTTGAAGCAGGCGGCGGCCGTGGTCGTCTTGTTCGCATAGGCGGCGGCCGTGGTCGTCTTGTTCGCATAGGCGACGGCTGTGGTCGTCTTGTTCGCTTGGTCCTTGAATGCGGAGGGCGTTTCTTCGTCGTTATGCGAAATGGGGGTTCAGCCGGTCGTGGCGGTGGCGGCGGCGGCCGTTTTGCTGTGGTCGTGACTAGAGCACTGGATGTGGTTGAAGTACTGAGCGTTGTGCTGGTCGTAGTACTTCTCGGAATTAATGTTGTTCTTGTTCGATCCGTGGACGGCACTGATAGTGGCACAAGCTGGTCTGATGGTGGCAGCAGCGGTTTTGCTCTGGTCGTGATAGAAGCACTAGACGTGGTTGAAGTATTGAGCAGTCCGCTGGTTGTGGTACTTTCCAGAATAGATGTCGTTTGATTCGTGGATAGCATTGATGTTAGTACAAAGTGACCTGGCGAGGATGACAGTGGTTTTGCTTTGGACGTAACAGGAATAGTGGATGTGGTTGAAGTACTGAGCAGTTCGCTGGTTGTGGTACTTCTCGGAACTGATGTCGTTCGATTCGTGGATGGTAGCGAAATTGGTGGAAATTGACCTGGCGAGGATGACAGTGGTTTTGTTTTGGACCGAACAGGAGTACTGGATGTGGTTGAAGTATTGAGTAGTTCGCTGGTTGTGGTACTTTCAGGAATTGAAGTTGTTCGATTCGTGGATGCCGTTGACATTAGTACAATTTGGTCTGCTGATAACGGCAGCGGTTTTGCTTTGGTCATGACAGAAGCACTAGACGTGGTTGAAATATTGAGCATCCCGCTAGCTGAAGTACTTTCCGGAATAGATGTCGTTTGATTCGTGGATAGCGTTGATGTTGGTACAAAGTGGTCTGGACTCAACACTGTTGTTGTCTTGTTGTCTCGCTGCGACGTTTTTTGGGTTGATGTTAGAACTCGTCCGATTGTATCATTTGCGATAATAGGTCTTGCTGGAGTCGTTGTTTGTGAGTGTGATAATGGCTCATCATCTTCGAGTGTTATCACAGATTCTGCTGTTGTTAATTGCGTTGTTGCTGGTGTTGTTGCAGCTTTTGACTTTAGTGATGATAATTCTGATGGTCGTGTTATTTTTGTGGTCGTATTTAGTTGTGAAATTTTCATTGTGTTCCTCGTTTGTTGATCATCTATTGGAATTGATTCAGCAGGATCGGGAAGTGGCCTTGATGAATTTGAAGGCAATGCAACTTCACCATAACTATGATCAGTGGTTGTCCGTGGGAAACCACTTAATGATGAGAACGTTTCTGTGTGATTCCGTGAAACGCTCCCTTGATCGAATCCAGTGATGTTTTTGTTTTGAAATGGTGAGTTCTTTGATGCATCATTGTCCAAATTCACTTCAGGAATCTTAGGCAATACGGTAGTTTTATTTTTATCCTTCTTATTCATCCCCTTTGAAGGGTTTTTTGGTTGTTTAGCAGGATTTTTCACGGAATGCTTTAATTTATTATACGACATTTTACCGTAGATTGGAACATGTTCCTGATTTTCGTCACTGTCTGATCCCTCTCCATTTAGTCCACCAACATGGATATCACCGTCACCGTAGTCGTCTTCCTCAGTTTCTTTCAGTCCTCCCAATGAGTTCCTATTTTTCACTTCATTTTGAGCATTTTCTTGCGACATTCCATCAGTTTCTTTTACTGCCAATCGTTTCATTATTTTGTACTCTTTCGAATAGGGATTGTTGAACTGAAAAATGTCATTCGTCCGAAGGATCAAGAAGAGGTTCAATCTAATTGGTGCTTCTGGAGTGATATCCAGCCAGTAACGTCATCATTTCATGTTGGCGAACTATCTCATAGTGGTGAAACACGAGTACATCACAGAGAAGATTGCGGTCTGAGCAAAACACTGACTCAAGATTGTATTTGTACCATCGAATGACAATGTATCGCTTAATGACTCATTTGGAAATGCAACTTATGACTCAGCACTGAACAATTAAAAATACCGTCAACTGATTGAGAAGGATTTCGGAAATGATGAATCTAGCGTTTCCTGATTCAGTTCTTTACTATTGCACAGTTCTGACATGATTCAAAGGTTACTAAGAGCCTTCGTGAGTCTCTGATTCAGTGAAAATGAGCAATTTAATTACTTTCAAGAAAGTTGGTGGGAAGTAATTTGAGAAGAATTTATACCAAATTTATTGATATACTTACTGTTTCATTAAAGTAAGTTCCATTCGAATAGGGTTGGTTAATTCCTTGTTCGTTTTTTATTCGATTAGCGTTAACACAGTCCTTCAACTATCTGATGTTATTCGCTATCGATACATTCATCATTTTGATGTTCATGCTTCGTTTTTCGAATCATCATGGAGGTCTTAGTCACAAAAGACGTAATAGGTCAGAACATTTAGAGCGTATTCTATTTAGTTTTTTGATGACGTAAAATGACTTACTGATCGTGAATAACATAGATTGACAGTTACAGACGGGTTGTTTACAGTGTACAAATATTGATTTGGATGGAAACATAAGATTGATAATTTTCGGCGCTTTCAAAAGATTTTATTCAATACTCTTGAACTAGCGTACAACATGGTGTATTGTAAACGAGATTTGAGTAGAAACTGATGGATGACAAGTTTTGTGCTGGTGAAGGATTAAAAGTACAACCGGAAATGACTGACCGTCATAAATATACCAATAATACTTAAACAAGCCATGATAGCTGTCGTTCGGCAATTCAACTGCTGCATCGTGATCACAGCGAAGATTCTGATATTTTCACAAGTACACCGGTGGCCTTTTAGAACTGGCGACCAGCTGAAGAAATGACCTCTAAAGGCCACTGCTATGAATACAAATGAGATCGTTCCAGTTGAAATCCATAACCATTGTGGATGCGTATTTACATATTATATCTCATAAACAAATTACCGATTCTGTTATTTACATGAACGTAAAAAGGATTGTTCTTTATATTGCCTAGCTCAGAACCACTACGAATATCAGTCATTTTCTTAATTCAATTATTGATTGCAATTATATCAAAAATGCCTCTGAATTTTTGAATGTATTATTGTAAAGTGAGCAAATGAGAAATGTTTGGTGTGGATTTTCAATTTGAATATATTTCTGACTGCAGAAGTGGTCAGTGCGGATGTTTACAAAATAAATAAATTTTCCAACTGATAGTCGGCAGCGGTTAGGAAAAATAATGTTCAGATTCTTGCTATTGTTCACCATCCAAAACATCGAAAAATGAATGAGTTTTCTTCAGTAGACTTTGGTCTTCCCTTCCCCCTTTTCTTTTTTTGTTCCGAAAAGTTCTGAAAATGTGAAAGTTTTAAAAGGATGAGAATGCTCTCACAATCAGTTAACAAAAAGCAATGTATTATGCTATCAATATCTTATCATGCCGTAAACTAAATTCTACTTATTCAGTTAAATAATCTAATCTGATACAGCCCTAAAAAACAAAAAAAAATTAGAATGTGAATGTGCTGATTAGAACGAGGTCCAAATTGTGAAACACATGTTGAATGCAAATCAGATTCGTGCGCTCGTAATGCACAATGCTATGTAGCGAATCATCAGGTAAACTGCGTTTGCAATACTGGATATTCAGGTTGATCTTTATTCATTCATTCGTTCATTGTTTGAGGAAGAAAGTGTTGTTTCCCTTGAGCGATTGCATGGAATTTCTGACAACATCGCTCATAGATGAGTGTTTGTCTGGCCGTCATCCTTTTGAATAGATTCGTCAATTTTTATTCCACATTTATCGCATATCTGACACAATGTTGATTGGTTCCAGTCGAAACTCAGTTGAAAATATATCTGTCAGTTTGTTGCGGTTACTCGCTTGAAAAGGGTTTCTCTCAACCACTGAATGGAGAGGAGAGTTACGTTCAAGAAGCAGTATGAACGTGAGAATTTTTTGTTAGATGAAACCTCCCGATTCAGTTGTTTGTTAAAATATTCATCAACTTATCTGCCATTTTTCAAGCATTTTCATACACGTCATAGTCATAAATAAAACAGATCATATGTGAAGGACATTTAATATGGTAAGTGTTATCAGTGAATTATCAATATCAATTGGTATCACTTAATCACTTAAAATGTAACCTTAAAAATGAAATCTCAACACAGTAAACGGAAATCAATAGGAAACCCAAAAAGTAGCGCATGATTTTCATTGAGCCGTATGGAAATGCTCTTGCAGCACCAACGGCAATGCAGTAAGGTACTCGAACAGCGGTCAAAATCAATGAGATCTCCTCGAGTGGTACATCTGAACCAAGCATGGCTCATGCTATTCCACTATTCATGCACTGATTAGGACAATGGCAGCCTAAGATTATTTCAGTAAAGGCAACATACCAGTAGCAATAACATGGCATAATTTGTTCATGAAGTTATCTCAAGTGACGAAATTTCCGTGAGTTTTGATAGATTGTTTCAGAGCTTTGATAGGATTTTGCTTGCAGACACACCAAACGATTGGTGAATCGCATTATAATGGCATCCAAATCTCTACTGCCCGCTTTACTCGAATCATCTCCATGCGTTCCCGGATGTGCGACCACCTGCACGCATCCAGTTGATTTGGAAAACTGCACAAAAGGTACAATCAGGCACAAATAAATCAGTTTGACTTGCAACTTCAGCTCAACAGTTCCGTGAAGCAGCAAGCACAGAAATCACTTAAATGGTTACAGTTATCTTTAATCACTCAATCAAACTGAAGAATCAATAATGATAACACTTCGAAGTGTGCGAGTAAGCTATAAGTATTTATCAAAACGAAACTAATTGTAAGAATCATTCAAAATGCCGAATTGATACCAAAAAATGAATGTCAGTAAATATGCTTATTAACGTTTCGGGGTGTGTGAAAGAATGTGAATATGGTTCGGGATATATTCTTGATACGAGTAATCCATTGGATATTAAGTGCACCACCGGTGATCAGTGTGGTTGTGTGGATCCTAATGGAAATCCTCATTTAAGTAACTTTCATTAGCATGAATGAAGACTCGAATAGGCGTAAATTACGCCGTCTTATCCAAATCCGATCAGAAACTCCAAATATTTCATTAAAAAGTTATTATCATAGCAAATAATCATTGGTTAAAAATGATTGTACACAATATAATAACCGCTTGAATGCCACATAACATTACCGTGACCAACTTGGCTCGGCAGATGTCCATTGCACTGTCGATGAATCACATCAGTACAAGCACTAATGCAACAAAGTTTGTGTTCATTATTCAGTGGCTGCTGGAGTTTTTGATTTGGCTAAATCAAATAATTCCGGGACAGTAAACTGATGGCAAATTGCAATCAATGTACATATAGTCTTCATTTATTGTTTCGCTTTCTTTGCATGCGCATTCAATAAACGAATCTTTCTCCTTCAATGAATTTAACATCAAAAACAGGTTAGTTCAAAAATGGAGAATGTGCATTCGGCCATCGCATAGCTTTTCACTCCTTCCCAAATACTTCATCGATCAGCAGATCACATTTAAATGATAACCATTCATTATGAAGTTTGAAAAATAATTCATCAAAATAATTTAATAAGTGAATAAGAAAATGATTGCATACATAAATATTGTTTAATACTGAATTATAGAAAATTGATAATGTTTCAGCGTACTGCTCGTCAACATTTATGGATACGGATTGATTGTTCGATACGACGTAACGTTACGGCAGTGCGACTTTGAATGAGGTGCGTTATATTGTAGTTGCAACATTGAACTGGAATTGGACGAATTAGCACGTTATTCACGTTCGAATGGCAGTTCGTTGAGTGAGGTAGATCTTGATCTAAAACCGCAACTGTATCCCAGCTATGATCCGCATCGTGAATAAACCACTCTTACGATACACTGACTCATTCCTGATATTCACATCAGTCACTATGCTTCACATTGTAATGGCATTTTGAATTGAACAAATAACCTCGCTATGTTGGTTTGATTTGTAAATGCATTATTAATTCACTGAAGTCCAGTGTACACTTTTTTATCCACACGGAAGACGTTCTTCCGTCAAAGTGATACTCTCTTGATAGTGACATACAATTTATTCATGGCTAAGACATATGTGATATCACTCGTTTTGCTGATAATGATGGCTTTAAAGGGCTAATACGGCAACCATGGTCGATCAATCCGTCTTCAAGTTGACTTACGACATTTTGGCAGACGGATGAATGATGATGATCAACTTCTACTCAACACTTCTTCCGGATTTATTGGGCGACAAATAGTTCAGTGTATTGCGTAAGGGTGCACAAGCGAGAAGGATTATTGAAGAGCAGTTGAAGCAGATGAATAAAGGGACAATCTCTTGAACGGTTTATGTGAATGGTGGTAGTGGCATCAGTTCGATCAACTTCACTCAGTAGATTCACGTAACCTAAATGATGATTTTCGACATTTTCATTAGATGAATTCAATCCGAGTTTCTTAATACAACCTTTCAATTCACTTTTTTAAAGTTAATATGCGAAAACGAAGCGTAATTGCAAGAAGTTATGTAGTAGTGAAGTGGTTCATTTAAAATGTTGATGAGGTATGCCAGTTTGTATCATTTGCATCAAGTTTCAGTTCGGAGTATTCGTAGGATAAGTACTTTGTGAATTAGTTATTAACAATAAGGGGTATACTGATAGTGCTGCTCGTGTTCATTTTGTTCTACTGCACTTGTCTCAGCTGTTCTCTTTGTTTGATTGTTAGTGCCAAATGCAACAGAAAATCATTAGAATTACATAGAGAAATATTGTTTCAGTTCTAGACGAACAATACATTAGAGTATTATATGTATGGAAGTTTTATTTTTTGAAGTTTCGTGTGAAATTTCATCGATTTCATGTACTTGTGCAATTTTATCATATGAGCGATTTGCTTATCGTTAGATAGCCGTTTGCTGTGTGCATGCTTAGATTGACAGTGGATTAAGTTGATTGTTCCCGGAATATAGTGAAGTCTGAAGCGAATGACTGCTGGAAATTTCATTTCCTTCTCTTGCTCATCGTTCAAGGAGTCGTTACGGTCATCGTTTACTGTTGTCTCATCAGGTGTATGTATACCTGTTAGGTGCACCTGTATTAACCTGTTTGTTAGTTTTTATTTTTTCGTTGAGAACTGATATTGCACGGAGATTTTTTATTCGTGTAATTTGTTTGATCCGTTGATTTGCTTTCCGGTTATTCTATTATATGCTGGCAAGTTGATTTCGTTCCGTTTTGCTTCATTTCTTTATTCTTTCATTGATTTGATAATTTTGGCCATTTGGGAGAATTTCAATTTGATTAGGAGGAGGACGAACAAAGTCAAAGGACGCATGCAATGAGCATTTAAAAAAAGTGCATTTTTAGGTAATTTCTTGTTTTTTTGCTTCCAATCTTNTTTTTTTGCTTCCAATCTTTTGAGTTTAAATAGTTGCCATGTTGCACAGCATGAAGTCAAGCTCAGTGGTTGTACGGGTATGTGAAAACAAACGAACGCAGTGAAAAGCGACTGGGTTGCTTTTGAGGAAAAGTTTATCAGAATGAGTGATTATATTGTGTTTGTTGCACAACAAGTCAATTTATCACGTCGCAATTTATTAACAACAGAGTCTGAAAGTAAAATTTGGAAATCAGGGATATATTAGAGCAGAGATTCCAAATATTACGACGAAATGGGTTAATTGTTTTAGAATTACATTTGAAATTTGCTATATTCATTTCGATTTTGGTATATTTTTGGGCTAATTGGAACAAGAGGTAGTTGATAAATCTCTTGTTCAGCATTCATTCACAAAATACGCCTGAGCTGTTATTTTTGTTGTTGTTGCTGTTATTACAATTATTATTTTACACATTCGCTTATTGCTAAATGTTGCAAATTTGTCTGTGACAAATGTTGTGATGGTGATGGTGTTAACGATATATTTATGATTAATATGATTCATTGTTGCACTTTTGCCATTTTCATATTACAATCAATCGATGAATTATTAATAAACTTCTATTCACTGGAATCTTTCGTTTGTACACCACTTTTAAATGCATTTCATAAGCACTTTGGTATAAACTTCAAAGCAAATTTCACGTCGACAGTTAAGCATAATTTATAACATCAACGGAGGTAATTCCTACTGAAAATTTTCGAGGAATCCAAAACTGACGTGAATCTAATCAGAGTTCATTGCTTTTGTGGATGAATATTAATAATTATTTTGAGAATGGTTCGTATTGTGAAATTTGAATTTGTTTGCAGTTGTTTAGCATTTACAACAATGAAATAAAACTCGAAGAGCATAATGAGAGCGATCAGGTAATTTATGAGTCGAATGCTTTTAAATACACACTTCAGGCCTACCGTCCGCACTAACTGCCCGTCCAAAATTCCGAAACCATTCAAGAAACCACCTAATTCTGTCGAAAACAAAGGTTGATATGGAAAGAAAAGGGAAACCAAATAAATAAAGAATTCAGCAACAAAGAAATGCATAATTCGAGTATCAACCTACAACCTACAGATCATATTCTAAAGTATTGTTCGTCGGATGACGGGGTCTCTAACAGGAGACAATCTCCTGGCCACTTTGGTCCAATGGGTTGTCCACTAGCCAAAAAGTTACACCCTTACGAACACTATTGTAAACTTACAATCACGGAATAACTAAAACCTAAACAACTAACAAACTAAATGTTACAATCTGAATTAAGGAATAACTCCAGTCAGTAGGCGGAAAACTTGCTCCTTGCCGTTCCTCATTGCATTATTTTGAGTAGGAATAAGCGTAAATGAAGTATGGGTATTAGAAAACGGATAAAAATCTTAAAATAAACGAATGAAAAGAGCAAATAATGCAAATTTGGCTTCTTATCAACTGGGGCGATCTGCCACTGCTCTATAAACTGGCACGTTTTCAAGAGCGGGAATTTGAAAATTTCTAGAAACAACCGTCACAACCACCCAGCCTGACCGTTTTTTGGGGCCCACTGACCGCTAAACGGGTGCTGAAGTGCCGTTTCGCGACCAGGGGCCCAGAAAAGAAAAGCCCGACTTCCAGTTGAACGAATCCTCGGGTAGGAAACGCCTTGTCAACCCCGACTAGTCTGAGCTAACAAGCCATTTATTACCCAAAGCACCAGAACGACGGCTGTCAACCAATTAGCACAAACACCTCTCCAAACCCGCCCAGTTTTCGCGAAAACACCGACAGCCTCGACCTCTGGTTACAACTGGAAATCAGGTGGATACCGCCTAGCTAGTGAATGCCTCGCCGTTACTAGTGACTCAAATTCCATTATGCGAAAAATACCGTTTGATTGATCCGTCCGTAAACAGCGCATAACCCTACGCATGCGACAGTCATTCACCAGCCGGACAGCACCGACTGAAAGAGCTCTCATAACCACACGAAGGTGGCCGGAAGACGAAATTCCTCAAGAGCTCTTTCAAAAATTAAAAACAACAATAACAATAAACAAAGAACAACAACGAAAAGAAACAAACAACAACAAAAATAAACGAAAAGTAACAACACCCCCCTCCCCAAAACTTTTACACTTTTCATATGAATCACATCAAAAATCAAAATGGAAAAAATATCACAGCACACAATACATAAAGCATCACAACATACAAAATATATCACATAGGAGCATATATCACATCATATCATGCAACAAATCATATCAACGTCACATCACAGGTATTCAAGCACCAACAAAAAAAGCAGACGTTACGACACCAGTTCTCTCCGATAACTGATTCGTCTTCATCACGGCAAACTAACGAATTTAACCTACACCACGCGTTATCGGGAATTAGAACACTGCTCTGGAGTAATAAACTTATTATCATCAGATAAAACCATAGAACAATATTTCTAACAATTAGACCATACGATTCAAGCAGAATGAATCCAATGAAACATATGCAATTATCCTAAATGACTGAGTTCGGTTATCTAATCTGTTACCGCAGTACTGCAGTAACAGATTAGTTAACGCATGCGTTCGAAACAAAAAACTAATGAAGGATAAACAAAAAATACGGGAAGCACTGATTCACTACACAGCATGCATTTGTAAGAAAACTTAAGTATGAAAAGAAGGATATGATAGCAAATGAAAAAAGCCATGCAGATTTTGATAAAACTCATCGAGATTGACATTAAATTAGAAGCCTCTGAATATTTTAATATAATGAAGCAGGGATATCCTGTGGCGAAGCATTTATAGAGACTCTTAAAAGAGGCGGATCTGTTGAGAAAGAAATGTACAAAGTTTGGTTTATTGTCTTGGTGGCTCTAAAGAGAGCCGTTGGGTTAAACTGGCGCTAAAGAGCGCCGTTGAGCTTTATTGGATCGAAATTTAGCCATTGCGCAACCTCAAATCCTAGTGTCTGCAAAAAGCGTTGCCTAAGAAACATTCTCGGCTCAAAAAAACAATGGTGCGGTAAACAGCAGATAAAGGAAGGATAAACAGATTCCGAACTCATAAATACATATGGAAATATTTATCAATTTACTACCTCATTGTGTTGAACCAATTGCTTCGACTGGTCAATCGGTCGAATTAAATCGTTCATTCCGTTGCTGATCATCATCCACATTCGCGATCGAATGCCATCGGGTGAATGAAAGTTTTCAATATTAGCAATTAGAACATATTTCTAAGCATATAATCAAACAGCACAAATAAAAAAAGGCAATGTCACAAAATGATTCCTATCTTTTTGACTAGTTACTTGAATGGCCAGAAACATAGACATCACATTTCCATAGAACCCGAGGTCACCCGCCGCTGTCCATGAAAACACGGAAGTTTGACGGTACGGATGCCGGGTTCACCCGGAACCGGAATAGGATTGCTCCTTGGGTTATCAGCCCATTCTCCCGGACTCACTGCATTCGCACACCTACAGGGAACTAGAAAATGCAGTGTCTATATTTCGGACCCCACTAACAATGGATGAACAACACTTAGGAATCATTCCGTGAGCATTATCATCTATTTAATGAAACTACGGTCAAAGGAAAAAGGAATAAATAATAAATAAGGAAATATTTATCAAGTTATTACCTTCCTTCGATGAACAAATTGCTGCGTTGAGTCGAAACGTCCATTTTGTGGTTAAATCATCCTCCATATTCCCAATCGAATGCCATCGAGTGCATGAAAGTTGTTTATATTAGCAATTGGAATGTATCTATACGCTCATAGTCCAACAACACAAACAAAAAGAACAAAATGTCACAAAACGATTCCTGTCTTTTTGACTAGTTGCTAGACTGGCCAGAGACATAAACATCACATTTCCTAGAACCCGAGGTCCTCCGCCGCTGTCCATGAAAACATGGAAGTTTGACGGTACGGATGCCGGGTTCACCCGGAACCGGGATAGGATTGTTCCTTGGGTTATCAGCCCATTCTCCCGGACTCACTGCATTCGAACACCTACAGGGCATCTAGGAAATGCTATGTCTATGCCCCCGACCCTAATCAGAATGAATTAACAACATGGAGGAATCATTTCGTGAGCATTCTCACCTATTTCATGGAATTGAAATCCAAAGAGAAAACAATAAAATAAGAAAAAAATGAGGTTGTAAATTAACTAGCCTCTAAGCAGGTGTTAATTGCTGGTTGCGAAAGTCTTGACCATTTCCATCGCTTACGTTGGTCCGATCACCAAATCCCATTGAGCGACTAAAACATACGTAATGGTTGGAGAAGATCTATCACAGCATTAATCAAAGAAACAAGCACGTTCGGTAGACCGGAAAGCACATCAACAACGAAGAGGAACGAAAACATTTCAATCATCTCACCAAATCAATTTCTTTATTACGAAATGCGACGTTTTTAGAAATATTTCATTAAAAACCCGAAAAACTAACTCAGCACCATCATCGTTCCCTCAAATGAGGAACGTTACTGAAAAGCAAATTTGCTGAATGTCAAATCCGCGATACCTAATCGCATAATTTATGTCCAATTTAAAAAGTACACGAAAACGTCGATAAAACGCGAATTTATTGCTGATAAAGCATCTCTTCAGGAGAGAGTTCAGTCATACTTAATGAATGTGCTAATACGTTAAAATTTGAAGCAAATTAATGATCATTTATGCAAATTATGCATTAATTCATTACATAACAAAAAATAATTAAGCGATAATGAAAAAAAAACCAAGATAAGAATGTGAACTGAACGAGTCAATAGTTCGTAGCGGAATCAATCACTTCGGAATCATTGTGTTCAGTTTGTAGCGGTACAATATAGTGGAAAACTGAGGGCGAATATGGCTCATGCAAAATAGTTGTTTTGAAAAGCATGTGAGCATCAAGAATAATGCTCACCTGAGCTAGCCGCTTGATTTACCAGCTCGGTCGACAAGGACAATCGTCTCAGGATTGATTTTTTGTTGATTCTATTTTTACTGTATCTCGAACTGCTAAGAAGTATCCGCAAGCAACAGTAGTCGTTACAGTAATGCTATGCTAGCAGCCAATCGAAACGAAATACGAGATTAATGTGATAGTATTTTATTTATATGAATATAATACAATAAAGCAAACCGAAATGGTACATCAAAAACACAGTAATATCGTTCCTCAATGAATGTTTTTTTTGATTCGCCGAAAATCGCTCACTGTAATACTGTAATCGAGATAGAATATTTATTTACTGATCATTCACAAACCGTTTCATCAAAAAGTCTGCTACATTTATTGGCTATTCTTTATCATTTCTGGGTATGTCAAATAAAACAATACATAAGAACAAAACAATCAAAACCGCAAGTCGAACAGGAGTATTATCAAAACAAAACGACAAACTCGTAGAAAAATATGGAAATTGAGAATCGATACGAATAAAACAGAAATAACTTGATATTCCATACCATCCAATGCTGATACATTGATTCGTGATTGCACACGAGATGATTACGAATACACAAAATTGCTCATTAAGATTTCGTGAGTACTTACACGCAATTCTTACACGTCAACAACAGCAACATTCATAAAATTACAAACGCTCATCTAAATGCCCAAATTGTTGCTACCGTTAACAAATTAACTTGAAACCATACCTCTTGCTTTCGTAATCTAACATCAACCTCAATCCTACCTTTGAAAATGAAAACTCGAATATTTTTTAAACAAAGTGGAGCCAAGTACGTGTTCATGAGGAGAAAATTCCTTTCATTGTGAAGTTCTTCAACAATCGCTGACATAATCAGACACAAATGAATCTAATCTGTTATAACGGATTGTACATATGAACAGATATCACGCAACATAATTGTACGTATTAGTATCATCTTTATCACGACACATATATTCGCGTTCGATGAGACTTTCGATGCGTTTTTTGAGGTCAATCGGCTTCACTGAGAAACGTAATTGTTTGAAGAGTTCAGAGATGAGCAACTGATGAGAGAGACTCTTACGGGTCTTCATAATGCGTACAATCGCCGCATCTATTTGATACTGGCGATCCTGGAAGACTTGCTCCTCGGTTTGCAAATGTTCCTCAGTCTGAAAGTTTTATGAAGTGCTAAAACACTTAACTTTACAGGACCACTTGAAAAGAATTATCATTCAATCGTTGCCTCAAACGAAAACAAGTGCTTGTGAGATAACACATGCAATCAATGTCATTGCAGTCGCAATAATACGAAAATGCATACGAAATAAGAAATCATGAGCCATAATTTCACAAAAATAATAATAATAATAGCAATGAATAAGAAACATACAGTTTCTTTCATCTGGACTTGACAAATACGTATTCTATACAATTTGTCATTACATTCCTCATTAAAAGTGAATTTGTCAAGCGGCTTTATATCCTTTCCACGAGGTGTCTTCAATATAACCCGCAGCTTGCCACACGCTAACGACTGCAGCGTACGATCTAATTCGGTCTTCTCTGCAATCAGAATCAATTTCGTTTTCGATTATCTTTACATTTAATTCACACAACAAGCAACAAGATTAATTAACGACAGGAAATTTAAGTTAAGCGAGCTGAATATTTTTCTCTGCTAACAATGACTAATTACAGATACGCAGTTGAAACAATTCAAATTGAATTTCAATCGAACGCACCGATTTTTGTTAAATCGGTGATTTCTTCGTAAGTCCACTCAACTTTCTCGTTGAAAAGTAACAAAACCAACGCTTGAAACATTGATACTTGCAACTCTTTAACCACCTGAAAGAAGCACAACAACTCATAACTCAAAAATTCATAATTCTNAATTCTTGATGGACAGTGCTTGAAATTTTGAAAGAATGCTTCTTTTCAGTTAATAAACAGAGTTTGCATCGATGATACCTTCGCGAATCTACATGCGAAAAATTTCAACACGTAGAAGGATGAATTTTGAGACCAGAAATCAAAATGGTAAACATGATTGTAGTTTAAAGAGGACAAAAGCATTCTAATAACAAATATTGATGACAAAAAAATGACAATAAAAAAAGCAAAAGTAATAATCATACCAACAATACAAATTAATAATAATAATAATAATGAAAATAATAATAAGAATCACTGGATAATTCAGAATTGAAGAACTAGATCACTGAAGGTAAGTAGTCACTCACCGTAGGCTTGAAGTGAGCTCTCAGAAGCACCTGCGCTAGACTGTGTTGCCATTGCAGCTTTCGACCACTGTGCTTGGATAAGTAGAACTGTAAAGAGAATCGTATTTTACAAGAATCGAACATCCGTGTTCACAATGACATCTCCGAATTTCACATTACGAATACGCCTCGAAAAGCCCGATATCGTTCAGAACGATGGTGCAATAATCGGTATGAATTATAAAAGAATCTTTCAACTGCCATTGAAAAAAACACTGAATATGACTGAGAAATTTTAAACTAAGTGACACCAAAAAACTTTCCAAATCAATGATTTTACAGAGAATTTTGGTAGTGAACACTCACAAAGCCGTGTATAATGATCACAGCAAACAATAAAGACTCATATAATACACTGAATCAAATACGATGAATAAATTTGAATACATAAGATAGCACTGACTCGTTTGAACAATTCTTGGTAGTCAATTAAAAACGATGGAATGACAACATCCATTGGCTGATACACAGGCCAATGCCCCATCGTTAAAACATTTACGTTGAATTCAATATGATCTTCGCCATGCCGTATAGATCGATCGGGACCACCGTGGTCCAAATACTAAATTTGACCGGATTGAAATGAGTAAAATTCACAAATGTTAACAACTTTACAGGAATTTTATTTCCACTTATGACTTTTCGAACACTCATCAAACGACTCCATTCATATCATAGAGAATTCACAAACGGATCCGTGAACAATCAACGGTTGGTAGGAGATCCCAGAACGCTCCGAAGGTGCTTGGTTACAAGATTAGATAAAGTCAAATCATTCCTTGCTAAGCAATCATCAACTTCAAGGTCTACTTAAGGCATGAACTTATAGATACGGTGAGCCTCACTACGCATTTGACGTTTTTGCTGTGCTCATCAATACGTTGAACAGATAATTATTAGGCTGACGAAATTATAAGACAAATCTGATGAGGAATGCATTCAAATTCGATTCAGTTAGCATTGGAATCAAGAACATTACCACCCGAAATGAGTACAGAATGAAAGCAAAGGGGAGGACCTGCTTGAATGCCACAGCGAGATCTTTGGATAATTCCATATCTTTGAACATCCCCTCTAATTTTGTCGTGAAGTCGGCGCCACATTCTAAAATCACGGCATATAACTCACCTCGATAATCAGCACTGAACGAAAACGACATGATGTTCAGAGAATATCGACTAGCCCCATTCCTTTGTACACTGAGCTTCTATTTACACAAATGGGTATACAGATATCGATCACAATTTCTTTTCGTAAGAAAATTTCATCTAACTGGTCGATAACACTGTTCCAATATACATACACATGAAACCATTCGAACGCAAAAAAAAATCTTTCTTAGATATAGCTAATTTTGATTTTATTCGAACACTAAAATACAGCTGGAACGAACCCTGTTTAAGTTTGGACAGCATTGACTTTTCAGCGTCGACAGACGCACTTCTTCCAAGAAGTAGACGTTTTGCGAGATCTTTCTTATAGAATGCTTCGAATACATCTTTACCTGTAATCATAATGCATTAGGAATATTTATACTGAAAATCATCATAAAATATCACTGATTTCATCTTGAATCTTTTCAAGATGTGTTTTTCTGTAGCGCTCATCGAAACAATTTTCACAATTAATTCATACTTGTTTCGCTCACAATGATTTGAAAAAATACGACAAAAAAACTGATTAACCTTGAATAAACCTGAAGATGACAATAACTTGATCCATAAGATTTTCTAACTCTTCATCACTAGACTCTTTATTGCCAGATCTCAATTTATTATCCAAATATTTTGCTGCAAATGAACAACAATCGAAAAATAGCATCCACATAAATCAGAGTTGTTTAATTATTGTATTGCCATTAATGGATTTTATACAAGATGAAAGGGAAAATGATTCTGGAAAAAACTTTAAATCCTATTGAATGGAACATTTTTTCCACATATTCGTTGACATGAAATCGACAAATGAAATACTTTCATTTAATTTAATCAACTCCTTGAAATAAAACCCGCTTAGGTGGGAATAATATGAACGAATTCAAAACCATATGATTAACAATACGAACAGATCCGATATATCAATAAAAAAATAAGAGAACGAAAAACGCACCAACAAGTTCAGCCGGTTTATTGGCACGAGTATTGATGAAGTAGTCGAATGCATCTTTTTCGGCTTGAACAAACTTTTCGTTATTCTCGAAACAACTTAAAATAATAGTTTAGACAATTGAAATGTTGTAGTTAATTGTAGAAACAACTACAAGACTGATAATATCCACAACAGTAACACTGACAATAATAACATCACGCTCTGAAATCGCAAAATTTCACGGCTGCCAAAACATGGAAGTAAAAAGAGAACTGCACGGAAATGCAACTGAGATGAACCAATTTCACGCTCCTCAAATGAACTCGACTTAGTTCATGAGAAAATCGACCAAAAAACCCAATCACAATATTCTACCGCAACGCAAACTCTATCAGGTTTTTCTGAGTGAATTCATGCCGATGTGACATATCTACTGATTACGACAAAAGTTGCTCCATATCTCATCACTTTAAGATTCATTCATCGAATATTATCTGGATTAATGAAGGAAATAAGATTAATCAAAAATTAATGAAGCAAAAAAACAAACCTTTTAAGAATGTTGTCTAATTTGGCTTTCATGACCAACAAATCAGCAACCAGTGTTTTATCATGTTCCGTATTCACTACTAACGCTTTACCCACTTTCTGAATTTGAATAACTGTCGATAATCATGTGATCATGAAACCGCATAAACATAAAAATCAAGTGGTACAAGTATCGACTCAAAAAACTTTTTAAAAAAGAAGTGAGAAAAACACACCTTAATGTATGATGCAAAAGCATTCTTTAGAAGTAAAAGGCCGTCTTTAGTACGCGATAACAACGAATAGATCAAAACCAAATCATCACACTGATTTGCGCTCAGCATTGATTCGACACCTGAAATTGAAAAGTTATGATATTTCTTAGCTGAATGACTGTAATTCGACAAGTTTATCACAAACACTGAAACAGTAAAATTATTCGTTGAACATGAATAAAAATATTAGCAATGAAGTTGAAAGGAACAACTCAATATGTACTTCACCAAATAGATTAGATGCTGGATAGAGGTTTCTCAACACTTTGTGCTGATTTAAAATACTACTCAGCATCGATATATTATTCACTTAAATCCGATCACATCAAAAACCTGATAACAATCCTTCAACCACACACCTTTGTCAATGAAGGTTTCCATATGATTAACAATCAAGCACTTATCAGTGACAGCCATTAATTCTTTACGTGTACTTGCGTCTAGATAGTGATCCACCCTGGATGACTCCTCCTCCAAACGTCGCTTAACATGTCGTAAATATGCAGGAACCTTAACGATAATCAATGTTCAACGACCGATTACTTATGTGAATGAAGTAAACTTTTCGATATCACACATCCCACATTCNATTCAACAATTATATTGTACTCAGATCAGATCGTTTCATTCAACCGTAACTGCGTTACCTCAAGATCGCGAGACAAGTTTCGTCCTTCGGTTTCGTACAGAGTGGTGGTTAATGACAAGAATCGACGTTCAAACACCTATAAACGGAAATATTTATTTCAGATGCGATTACGACGAAGTGCTATTATATGACGAGGGAAATTTTTTATATAGATGGAACTTTTAAAATGAAACTTTAGACAATTTCCGGAAAGAACATAACCACACAACTTTTTCTAAATACTGAACTTTAAACAAAATGCAAATAAGATGCAGGCAGGAGAAAGTAGAAGTTTATGAAAAATTCTTCCCCAGCTATGAGGTCGCAGCATACACATGACTGGATTCAGTTCCATAATCTAAATTCAAAAACTAACCATACAAATGATAAGGCAAACGTGAAGCTAAACATACCGTTTGATAAATACCTAAATTCGACATCATACGTAACAGTGATCTGACGAGTTGACGATCAATCTGTAATAAATGAATGATTTCTGCTCGATAATATTCTTTTATCACTGCTGCTGAACAATGCAAAAGCACAAAGCGAACGAAAGTTTACAAGAAGATTCACAGATAACTTCAAGTTGATCTGATCGCAAGTGAACGTAACAAACGAATAAAATCAATCAATTGATCACCTGTGCACCACCGCGCTCTGTTTCAATCAATTTCATAATACCATTCGTTGCACGCTTTCTGATGCAATCATTATTCATTATCACATCTCGAAATATCTCCAATCCAACATCCCTACAAAATAATTCAGTCATTTTCGTCCCACACATTTCTCATCATTTCACTCTGATAAACTATACTAGTAAATCGACTTCTATTAAACAGTTTTTCTCAGTTGATAAACAACCGGAAATACTTCCACTAAGAAATCATTGGACCTCCAATTTGGATAAGATTTTTTCCAGCAATCACACCTAAAACTAATAATGCTATCTTTGCTTTCTTCAGATTTGCAAATTTAATCTTGCTTGGCGAAAGCATCCAATAAATAACCACTATAAAAAACAAAAGGTAGAAGAACAATTATTTGTTGCATGATGAAAATCGTTTGAAAACTGAGAATTGAACAACAAATATCATAAACTTTCCAAATCTGAAAACAGCATACCATAACGATGCTACTGACGAGTTCTGCAAGACAAATGTCCTATCCAAATAAAGAAATACGCTTCGAATCATCACCTGTAATGAATTCATCAACGTATTCAGCGATCATTTAAAGAAGCATATCATAAGTTCATTTCATAGGCTCTTCACTGCCTACTTGCCCATCTGTCGGAGTGGATTGAAAATCGTATTTGTGCATTGCTCGAACAAATGACAGACCACTTTTTTACGATTAATTTTCAGCTATTGACTATAATAATATGGCAACTCAATTTCTCTTAAGACTGATAAAAAATTCAAGAGCAATAAATCACTGAGAAGTAACCACCAAAACAAAACGAACTAACAAAAGGAATCAATCAATGAAATTAACCATTTGTTGACAATGCTCCAACCAAAGCGCATTCAGTCGTTCCAGGAAAAGAACAGTCGTATCTGAATCACTCAACAATGTTTGTAATTTTGATCGCAGATGTTGTACGAGGCACTGCTTCAAATACGTGTACGTCTCCATTGAAAGTTTATGTCCACATAAATTCTCGACTGTCTGAAACAATGCAAATCAGTGAATGATCGATCAGGATCACCGCCGATAACAAATCAACATAAAAATAGAACAGTTTTTAAACTGCGACATGAAGAATCCTATTATATGAAGTTGGCAAATTTAGTAATTGTTTTGCGAATAGTCTCCGATGAACCGTTAAGTTTGGTGATCAGCTCATTCAGAATGAAAAACTCAGATAACAACTCTTTGAAAGATCAAAAACAATGATATCCGAACTGATTCCGCATGAAGAATACGAGAATGAGGATTTCAACTGACTCGATAAAGTTGTTCCAAACTCGTATTCACTTTGCGTTTTTGTTGAATTGCAATTACGGCTTCTTCCAGGATTCGCCAACTTGATTCCAGCAGATTACCTTCCGACTGAGATGAGCGTTCTGAAAGATTCAAGTTAATCCCATCAAACTATGTAATTCTGCTCAACAACAACGTCGGATGATGGTGGAAAATGTGACCAAAAGATAACAATGAAAACGATGAGAATGACGTTGATTAACGTCAAAACCGAATTTTAGACATAAACAAACGAACGTTTAAAATTTCGGATGACTAATTTTTTTGCAGTCATGAGCGATGCGCGATGTGATGGAATTGTTTTGCCATTACGATACGATGAACTGTTGTTGATATTGTTGGTGATATTATTCGGTATGGCGTGATCAGCGGATGACGGTCCAACAGAGAATGGACTCATTGTGGGATATGTTGCACCGAAAGTGTTACGAGTGGATCGATTCGGACTGATCAGATTATTGGCATTATTATTGCTATTCAACTGTTGTGGATGTGACTGATCACTGTTTTGATCCATCGGCTGATCATCGGTATTCATTGAAAATGATGCTTCTGGCTTGGGCTTTTGCAAAGGCTTCGGTGATAGCAATCCACGTCTTGCACGTTTCGAATCACAAATCTTAATCACAACTGTCGTTTTCGACACACCTCGATTTATTGAATCCATTCACTTTCTTCGGAAAAAACTCACGGCAATTCATGAAAACTGATTGTCGATCTTATATATTAGACGTCATTTTGCTAATGACAGCTTCGAAATCGCGGAAAGTAAACGATGCATCACTGAGCACACATCATAAATTAAGAGAATTTTTAATTTCAACTTTCACCACTTATTTCGAACTAAAGCTGACAAGTAAGGAAGTGAAATCAAATAATGAACTTTCTAACTCGATTATCCTGAGCGACTGATTCCTCGATAAGTGTTGAATTTGCTTCTCCTAATGAACGTTTACCTGAATAAAAGTGATATGAAAAGATAAATTACAGAGCAAATCTGGTCCATTACAAAAAAACCTTCCCAAACTGTGTTATTATTCAATAAAGAATGAAGTACATTTAATTCAATAAATCTTCATAATTTGAAGCTTAGGCGACTTAGGCGATCCTTTGAATAATTACTTACAGTTAATCGTTTTGTTTTTTTTTCTTCTTGAATGGAAGAAGCGAGGGGTGAGGGAGTTTCCGCAAATTGCTTTTGCTCAATACTGACTGTGAGGAATGCTTCAGCGGAAAGTCGAAATACAACTAATTATTCTACAGTGGAAGGCTTTAAAATGCAAATTACAAATCCTCACAAATTTGGGTCGGAAACAAATTTAATTTTCATTTCTTGAAATAGTTCGTAACTGGATCCAGCAGTGACCAAATAGCGCATTAAGTAGTCAAGCGTTCATCAAACGGAAATGAATATTAAAGGATTCTAATAGTAAATTAGAAAAGGCAAAACAGTTGAAAATTTGACAATTTCTAAAATCAATAAAAAAGCAACTGTTTAAAGCGTTGTTATCACGAGGTATCGAGAGCGTAAAGGTCGAACAGCAAAGTACAAATGTGAAACGAATTATAATTACCATAGATAAAGCAGTGAGAACATGATTCACCTGAATTGTGGGGCGAATGTAACGGCGTTTCCGATAGAAGAGTTGTGGGTACTGAATGCGATGACATATAAAATGTTGATTGAAAGGAAAAGAACGAACGAGCCTTAATCTGTCTCAGTAATTCAGCCCAGCAATACCTGAAAGTGTAAGCTTACCCAAAATTGTAACATAAAAACGAATGAACTGCATTTTGAGGCCATGAATAACGAGATGTTGCAAATCGGAATGTAATCAATTGCCAAAAATGACCTGAAAAAGTAAATAAAAAGAATGAGACATTTCACAGTCGTAAATAATCATGAAAAGAGCATATTATGGCTAGGTAAAATTCTACAGGTCATGCGAATAGACCAATATTCAACGGTACTCCAGGCAGGGAACTATGGAATTGCCGGTCCGGTCCATCCGGCCGGAGTGTAATTTGCTGGGCCGACCACGACTTGTCAGGCCAGGCTAAGATTTGCCGGACTGGGCCAAAATATGCCAGGCATCAAATTACGTTGACGCAGCAAATTTTGGCTCGGCTCGGTAATCCTTGGCCCAACCCGATAAATCCTGGCTCAGCCCGGGACCGGCAAATCTACACTCCCGGTGGGGAGTGGAATGTTGGATGGTTGATTAGCAGGTATGAAATGAAAATGATTTGTTAAGCGCTGCGTTGTTCAGAAGTGGACTTTGATGAACCGATACATAAACTTTATAAAGCCAGTTGCTTGAGAAGCGGAATCATCCACTACGAAGCGAATCAATGAAAGATTAATCGCGACTGAAGAGACTTTGAAAAGTGTATAACTCAGCTGACATGAATCAATGAAAAAATCCACAACTTCTGTTTATGTGTGCGAAACGATGCATGCGGAAAGAATGATAAGGAACATTTTGGTAGAAGTTTGGTAACAAAAGAAAAGCGTTCTCGAAAGTGCATTGCTATTCCATACCAAATTCTAAGCTAATTTCTATCACGTTGGTGAACACTTATCATTTATCCACACTTTATTGGTATCACACGACAAAAAACAAAATCCAATGAGATTTACCGCAAATCGAAAGTCGATTTGAATATCGTCGTATCAAATCTTACAGCTGAGAATTATTTTTCAAAAGTGATTTCATTAGTCGTTGTTTTTAATATTGTGAGGTGGAGAGAAGCAGGCAATGAAAAGGAAAGGAAGAACTGAGAACTATTAGGAATATAGAAAGAATGAGATGTTCAGTCATCTGAACGAAATTTCAGTTCATTCGGAATCCGACCGAATCGACATTGCGAAATTCGGTATTTCGATCCAAACCGTGATGGTAATCGAACGGAAGCTGGGTTTAGTCGAAATCGGAAAGAATTTTTTTCCAGTCGATTTCTAGAATTCCCGGTTCTAATCCGAATTTGACCGAATTCCTCCTCCAATATTCTGAAATTCAGTATTCCGACCGATTGTTAAAATTCTTCGATCGGATTTCATCGGATTTTACCGACGGAAATTCAGTCGGCTAAGTGTTACTTGCCAGTAACTCACATGCTCTCCTTACAACCAGGATTGACCTGTTAAGCACGACAAAGGCCACGTCAAATCCAGCTTTAAGCTCGTCAACGAAGCGAATTCATCTTGCCCATCATACGCGTTTCATTAGAAAATGATCTTTCCTACTTTGCGATAATCGCAATATTCGTCAGCTGACCATTTCGGCAATATTTGGTCAAATGACATTCGCAAAGCAAATTTTCAAGAACAATAATTCACTTTATCACATAAAAAAATTATTCAAAAGCGAATTATTTGAAAGAAATCCTGCATTTTGCAATGCTCTGTTTCGTTTGATTAGTGGTATTGTATTCATTAAAAGAGCTACTCAAATTAAAAATCATATTTATTCTTTTGAAGTAACACATTCAATTTAGGTGATATTGATCCCAATGATACAGGCTATTGTTAATCATTAAGGCTCAAATTTTGAGAAATTTTCTCATCAATTCATCACAGCTAGGGTTTGCACAGGATCCCGGGATCCCAAGATTTCAATTCTGATCCCGATCCCGGGATTTAAGTTTTGAAAAATCCCGGGATTTCGGGATTTGATAAAACAAGTCAATTTGCATGAATTTTGATAGTATGCTCATCTTGAAGCAAGCCTTAATCATTCCCATCTCATTCATATGCAGTCACTTTTGTTGTTTGCCCTCTATCATTGATGAATAGCTGATGAAATAGACGCAAATTGGACGAATGACATGATCAACGATAGTTCGATGAACTTTTACGTAACATTTCATTCAATATTTAACTGATTTTTCTGCTCTTCATTGCTTTATATCAGGCTCATCTGGATGCTTTTCTAAGTAGAATAACACAGATAATCACATTTTCTAATAAGAACCAAGAGCAACAAAATTCAACGAAATTTTGAGTCATTTCTTCTAACGCGATTTTTTCGGCTTCAATATTCCATCTGTTAATTCAACTGCATGTTCTAAAGACTGCAAGCCTTTTTACTTCGCTATTTGGAAACATTTTCATCCGATCGAAATGTACATTAATTCTCATTGAGTTCACCCATAGTGAGAATTCACTGTCGAAGTGAGGTGAATTGTTCCATTTAAAAGGATCTTAAGCTTAACTATCAAGTACATTTCCATGATCTATGATCGAAATTATCAAACATGTAAGCGCTCGATGGTTCGATGAAAATTCATTGCGGATTTTTTTTCACTTTTTAGATAAACTCTGAACTTTTCAAAATTCAAATGATATAATTTATGCGATGCATTTCTTTCGTAAAAAATCGAAATTTCTGAAATAGCAGAATTCACCTGATGTTAATGCTGCGAGAAAATGGACTTGAAGCACTGCAAATAAGTGTTTGAGAATCAAGAATTTCATATTCACATGCAAGTGTACTGTTGTTAGCTTAGACCCGAGAAGACAAGATGCCTTAGCGTAGAAAATGCAGTATGCCCTTACGACATGATCATTAGCAAGATTATATGAAATATTAATTTGAATTTAAATAATTTGGTTCCTCGAATTTGTTCAATAATTTGTTGAATTAACTCCTTTCTGAACAGATTGGTTCGAAAAAATGTGTTTGAACATGTCCCGCATCGATATTACAAAAATTGTTGGATCCCGGGATTAAATCCCGATCCCGGGATTGAAAAAACGTCGGGATTTTGCAAACCCTAATCACAACAATAGCGGTAAATGTTCATGAAGAATGCGTGGAAATGACATAAACAGTTGCGAACAGGTATCAACTGCTGTGGGCTGTCAAATCGTGAATGGCAAAGCACCATCACATTTAAAATGTCCCGTTTCGTTCATCATCAATCGCACATTAATACATTATTTGTGTCTCAAGCCCATGAACAAATTAAGCAGCAAACAAGTGAAATAGTTGATAATTGAATTCGGGAATCAGCTGAGGTTACATCTAATCGTTATTTCATGGTCCGTGAGGATGGAGTGTGGTACGGTTGTATTCAGCCCACTGCGGAAAATCGCCGAGATCGAATAGCCACCATGTGTATGTGTGTGTGAATGTAATTGTCATTAAAACCGAGAATGCATTCAATGTAAAACCTGCTTTCACCTGGAATGAATCATTTGTTTTTTTTTNTTTTTTTTTGAAAATTAAAAATATAGTATGTATCACACAGTGAGAAAACATTTATATTCTTTTCATCTCTCATTAGCTGTATCGCGTGCAGTCGTTCGGGTTAGTTCCGTCTTAGGTTAACACGCATTTAGACTCGTCTATTCAGTATGGAACAACATCATTGATCATTGGATTAGTCATTGATTATGACAATGACTTTTCATTTTCAAGCAATCTTCGAATCGAACCATCGAGGAAACAGTTAAATGAAGGCGACTGAACTCCAAAAAAATCGAGATCATATTTACCATGTCAACGACTCGAATCATCTTCGAACTGAAAACAATTGCATTTGCAGGTGAACCGGCAGGTAACATGAACGAATACGAGCAAGAGAGTACTGTGGGAAGAATATACAACAACGGGTTTGTCCGAGTGGATTTCGCCTTAAAATTTATTCGTTATAAATGTTCCGATTCTGATTATCAATGGCAATATCATCGTTTGATCGCCACATCAATTTAGTTTGATCAATGAGTATATACGTGTCGTCGAATTATCAGTTGATAACAACTGAATCGTTCAGTTCCTAAGAAGTTTAATTGAAAAATCTAAAGAAGTAATAAATAAAAGGAGAGAAAGTAACTGAATCGAAAAATGTGAAAATCATGGAAAAAGTGCATTTCTATTCATTTCTGAAAGTGCATTGAGATAATTCCGAAACTGCATTGAGCAAAATGATCTGTAAATAAGTAGTGCGGAAATGGTACTAACAATTGAGTTGACCATTGGAATGAAGATGGATGCAGTCGCGACATTACTGCTGAATTCAGTTATGATCGTTATAAAAACACAACTCACGGAGATAAACATCCATCTCGGTAATGTTGTCAATGATGCTAACTGTGAGCCCAACATATCCGATAAGCCGCTCTCTTCCACACCTTATTTAATAGATGTAAGTTCATTCGTTATGTTTGCATCTAATATTTCTTTTTATTTAATTCATCGAGAAAATGAAAACAGATCATCGAATAACGCAATTGAATGGATAAATAATGTTTCGATTCCCACAAAAGAAACAATTTGATGAGGCAAACCTTCTGCCAACGCGTAACCTCCACCAAGCAAAAGAACAGTACTCCACGAAAATTTTTCCTTCATTTGTTCCCAACTCATTAAAGTTCGAAATTCTTTATCATCTGATGGTGGTTTCAAAGGGTTCTCAGCAGGCACAACGAATAACAGAAACGCAATAGACATTGCCACCGTACCATCAGAGATGAATCTGTAAAAATCATTCCATTTTGCTAAAGAAAATGACGTCCAAATTATCACAGAGGAATATCACAGTTACATCTCCGATAAATATTTTTTGAGAGTAATACTTTTTCCTCTCAAACGATGAAAGGTAGATCTTAATGATGTTGACAGTTTGTTGTGACACAATGAAGGATTTTGCGAGACTGACTATACATCAATACTTTCACCATCCCTACAACTAATCGTTCTGAATGATTGCAATTGAGTCGAAACAAACGCTAAAGTTCGAATACCTCTCTTTAAATAACGAGATCCAGCCTGGAATTATCTTTGGTTCACGGAACAACCACAAAAATACCAACGTTGCAAACAGTGCCAACACAATTCTCTCGTCAAATCTTCAATTTTTCGAAAAATTTCATCACAATCCCCTTTGCTTTTGACATGTTTCGAAAAATTTTGATCACAATGTCAACAAAAATGATAGTGATTTGTCACTGATGTTTCTTGATAGGATCATTTTATTCTCTAAAAGTTCGTCGTTTCGGTCACATAGCAAGATGACATCATCAAGTTCCAACAAAATGAACAGAGTCGAAAAATTACTTACTTAAGTGGTCCCAATCGTGCATATTTGTGTTTCAGCATCCGCTCCACACGACTCTCATCGTCTTCTTGCGTTCTACTGAATATCTTTTGAGAATGATAAAAATCAATTGATGAGGACAAATATTTCGACTGCATTTCTTGAGATATCAATCTCGTAAACAAAGTTTGAACGAACAGTTTGTATCGTTCAGCATTTTTTCTTGAATTTTCAAAATCTTGTATGACCATAGTACCTGAATCCGATGAATATCGTCTGAAGCCAAATCCAGCAAAACAATAATGAGATGACGAGCTGCGGAACAGCAAATGCAAGCCAACTGGCAAATGTTATTGGCGTTTTACCGAGATAAAGCCTGCAATCGACTATTGAAGACAACATCAAAAATACAAGATCAAGAAAGAAACGTGTGTACAAGTGAAATACAGCAAGCTTTTGTGAACAACCAATATCCACAATAAAACATTGATGATTATGACTGAAATTTGATCGGCACTAGTTGTTAATTATGACGGTAACAGAAGGCGATTGTAGGATTGAGAAATTGCTCAGTCAAGAGAACAACCAACAAACTTTTCTAAATCGCCAGCAAGAACGATATTCGGCCCAGTACCAATGAGCGATCCAATCCCACCGATTGATGCCGAATAGCAAATTGACAGCAGCAATGCATAAAAACTCATTTCATATTATCGAAAGCAGCAACGTTCATGAATGCAAATAAACATATACTAACACTAATATAAAACTATGCTAATACTATCGAAATGATACTCTTCGAAAGTACCAACATTCACGTATACAAACACATCAATGGATCGTTTTGATGACTATACTTGAGAATAAGAATCACGATCCACGTACCTTGTAAATGTTCATTTCTCTTGGTGGTATTCTTCGGATATCTAAGGGATTCTCAGCTTGATCCATTGCGTCAAGTTGTAATGCCGTATTTTCTGCGTTTACCGCCCTGAAAGAACGATCTTTCACAATAAATCGTGAAATCGAATGGACCGCGCAAAAAAGTTGTGAATCATCTTCTTTTTTGTGAATGGATGAGCAACCATTCCACGTCATTGATACTTAAGTTCGAATTCAGTCTCAAACAACAGTGCCACATCAGGAATAAAACGATATTCACTTGGATTCCTCGAACATTCGTAATTCTCGTATGACTGCCATAGCAATTGGTACCATCATTGCAGTTGTCGCTGTATTACTGATCCACATTGACAATAAAGCTGTTGATAGTTGAAAGCCACCCATCAACCTGTTGTTCAATTATCCATTTCATTGTACATGTTTTCTATTACTTGATGAAGTCGTTTTGCAGAACTCGTGGAAAGATCTCATATGTTACCGGAGACTGCATGGTGAATGAAAAAGATCGAAGCAATTGGAGCCTAGAGAAGGGTTACTGTCTACAAACCATATTAATAAAGTAAGAAAATAAATATGTTGAGAACTAACCATCGTGGATTAGAGCCCGTGAAGATAAGAATGCGAAGTGCGATTCTTTCATGAAGATTACTCGTTTCGATTGCGACTGCCATAATCAAACTTCCAACGAATATAAAATTGCTATCCTTCAATAAACAATAACTGTGCATTCATAAGACCGAAACGTTTATAAGTTTCAAAATTTGTCTCCCACTCACGATCAGACTTTCTATGGCATTTTCAAATGTTGCGTTGGGAAATTTTCAATGTTTTTGAAAATGGTGAATATACTCCGAAATAATAACATACAGCAAGATAGATGACCGAGACATCATGTGCATTCAATATACCAAAAGCAGGAAATAAGATGACTGGCAATAATGCTGTGACAGCCAGTGGTATTACTTCGCTCATCCACAACGTACCCATCAGAAGCACGACATACGCACTCAACATCTCCTGAAATGCAGCAATAGATATGCGCATTATCGGGTGTTGTTGAGTAATATTTTCTTATCAGGTTGAAACCCGCTGATTTAGACATATGTTGAAGATTCTACAGGCGTATCTCGAAAAACGATTGGAGGAAATACGTTAGAAATATCACGCTGGCTCAGAATTTTCGTAGTTTGACAAGGAACTGGATTAATTTCGATACTAAATTAGACCATGCGATTGCAATTAACCGAGGTCCTTTTGTGTTAATGTCATGTGCAGCAACAAAAAACAAGAATAAACAACAAACCTTTGATGGGAATGCGATCGGAACGAAAGCGAATAAAAACATTAAGCCGAATACAGTTAGCTGCCTTTTTGCTGCCTTTATCCAATCAAGAAATGTAAAATTTGCTGATTGCTTTAACTGGAAACTTGGTGTGCTTTCTGATTGGGAATGATGCATGGTTTGGAAGTTACGTGTTGTCTTGAGGTTATCGCCTCATGCGAATACAGTTTATTATGCAGTAATGGTGAATAATCTGAAGAATAGGAACGATTGCAATGTGAACATTACCGAATGCGAATGCATTGGTTCAGATTATTTTGTCGGCAATAACATTCGGTCAAGTGATCGCGCAATATTATTTAATCAAAAAAGGCGAAATAATTTATAAAAACAATGTCAGATATGATTAATTATCAATTAAATTGATGAAGTTGAAGTCGAATGCGTTAGAAAGGGGAAGAAAAAAGTAAATTTCATGTGGGACAATATTTCAAGTGAAACAAGATAATGAAAAGAAAAGAAGTAAAACCAGTTCTGTTACATTTTTATGATTGTAGATGAATGCTACACAACATGCTCAATTATCATCCAATGAATTTTATCACATTTGATTTATGATAAGAATTCCAAAGATTATTTTACCTTATGACTGATTGTATTTGTTGGATGTGTCGGAATGTTTGCATGAATTTCCTAGCAAACTGCAGTGTAGACAACAAAAGTGCACCGAATTATTGACGTGAATGTCTTTCAAAAACCCAAAAGTATCTTGACGTAACATACTAACCTGGATATCATCTGCACAATACTTTTTCAGGCTACGTGACAGTGCTTCGTTGCTCAGAAACGCACCCAAATTGTCCAATGTGTAACTCTTCAGAATTGTAAAATCAAAATTTTAGAAATTATTAGAAAATGTTTCGATATTTGAGCTCATGAATGAACTGAAGAAACAATAAATGAAGGATTAAAACAGAAGATGACGAATGCTTCATTCAGCAAAGAATGTCATATCCAAACTCAGGACAAGAGAAGGGCTCGGAATCAGAAATGCTTTCAGTAGTATTAATTCATCCTTCTTCAACACGATGTAAGATACTCAAAAAATTATGCATTCCTATATTAAAAATGATATTAACATAGAGTAGCATGATGTAAAGTCAGCAATTACATATACATGAAAAGCGATGATACAGTGTTAACGAGGTGACCAGATGTATGCTGAACAGTTATGATGCACTGCTTTAGTTGCTTCACATCTTCAGAGTAGACTTCAAAACGAAAACAAAAAAAAAAAA